AACTTTGATCCTAGCTGCTGAGTCCACGTGTCTTAATCAGGAAGCTACTAGGGCTAGAAGTGGGCAAACAGGTATAGGAACCGTAGGTCGGGGCGGGTAATCAAGGTTCGAGACGGGTACGGGCTGGCTCCTAATTTTTAAAAAGAGAAATAGGGTGGGGCGGGGCTTTGAAATTTAAGGTTCGGGCTGGTTCTTAAAGTATAGAAAAACGAGTACCCGACCCGGCTCGTCTCGTTTGTAAATGCAATGGACGAACGAGATTGAAGAGTAAGCTACCATTTAATCTAAACCATTAGTTTTAGCCTAGGTTCTTTCTCAGTCTCTCTTTCATCTCGAGCCCTCGACTATGTTATTGGACACTAGACCTCGAACTCGATTATCTCTCCCTGTCAAGCGTGCATTATCCCTTCCCATCCGTCACTCTCTGTTAGTTATCTCCTACACCACTCCGACATCACCGCCGTCATGAGCCATCACTCTCCGTTAGTCATCTCCTCCGTCAGTCCAACTTTCGTATTCCTTTTGAAGCTATCGCAGCTTTGTCTCTGGTGGAATTGGTAATTTCTCCTACTTATTTCATCTAGATTTTGATCAGATTGTTCATTTATCTATGAAGCAATGTGGTTTTGATCAGATTGTTCATTCATTTGGGTTTTGATCATATTGTTCATTTATTTATAATTTATAAATTACAGGGCTTTGATCAGATTGTTCATTTATTCATTTAGGTTTTGATCAGATTGTTCATTCAACCGGGTTTGTGGTTGTCTATGTGCTTCTGTATATCTAATGGGTTTTTATCATATTGTTCATTTATTTATAATTTATTAGTTATATATTTGTTGGCTAATGGGTTCATGTTCAACTTTATTTTGGGTAATGGTTTCTTCTTGATCTAAGCTGGTTGATTTTTGTCCATGACCATTGTCCTTTATCTTTTAAGTGCACTTTCAATATCTGCTAACCACGATGCAATAGTTTATGTCTTATTCCATTTTCGCACAATTATTCACACTACACCTTTTTCAGATGTTTTTCCTACAATGAAATTATCTTGTTATGTATTTTTTTCCCCAGTTTATTGAGTCATATTGTGTGATCTGTGTTCAAACTGTGCAATCTGTGTAGATGTTGTATTTTTTCCGTCAATCTGTGCTGCTGTGCAATTGTTGTAAAAAAATCAATTATACATAGAAGATTGTAACTTGAAATCTACGACAAGGTTTGAATGTGGATATCATATATATTACCATGTTTTGCTTTCAACTCAGAGATTTTCAGAGCAATTACTGAGATTTCTGCTGCTATTTAGTCCTTGTCGATAACCCAATTAATTGACAAAAAAATTGTGTTTTTTTTTTTTTGCCAAAAAAAGAAGACCCGTGTACCCAGACCAAATCAGCACGTATTAAACGGTTTGAGTTCGGTCCAGTTCCTATTTTAAAATCTGTTGTACCTGTCCTGGACTGGCCCATTTCTTTTAAACTTTGGTACGGTCCGATTCCTTCAAAATTGGACCCGGCCCAGCCCGTGCCCAACCCTAACTAGGGTTGCTAAGGGGGTCAAGGTGGCAAGGGTAGCTTAAGTTCATTCGACTGCCTAAAATATTGAAAAGTTTGAGTTTGAGCTTACCAATTTGAGAGGATCCAATGTCTATGTCCCCACTTTTGTGCAGCTGGAAGCAATTCGCCAAAAAGTTGATGACTTGAAGGTTAGGCTCGTTATGTCTTAAGGGCTGCTAGAGGCTGCACATAAATATTTTGCCCTCAACCTACTAAAAATCCATGACCTTGAAAGTGTAAACTCTGAACTTCGATCTTCTAGCTTTGCCAAAGACCAGGAACTTGTCTCCATGTATAACAAAGTAACTCATCTCTAGAAGGTTGCCAGTAAGCTTGAGTCCAAGGAAGTGGAGTTGCAAGGTGCCCTGTTTGGTAATGAGAACTTGAAAAGGGAGCTGGTTGAACTGCAAAGTGCCCATATTGGTCTTGTTAAAGAGAATGAGTAACTGAGGAGTGAGAAGGTTGGTGATTAAATTGCACTTGCTCTAGTAATGCAATCTAAACACTTGATTTCTCTTGCACACTGCTTGAGTCTAAAATCACTCAATAACTTGACCGTCGAAGAGCCATTGGCCGGCTCCCCTACCCTGGCTTTAGGCTTGCTCATAGTTGTTTACTATTTTGTACATTGCTTGAGTTTGTGCACAACTACCATTCATGACGACGCGCGAATTTGGTTCCAACACCAACTTCCAGATGAATTTTGACACATGACCAGTTGGAGACAAAAGCTAAAACGCCCAAGACATCCAAGCCTTTAAGTATATATTTAAGAGGTTTTGGGAAGTTAGGCCATCTCCAATCGAAGAAGGGCCAGATGGGTTGCTTTAGGCCTATAGCCCTCTAAGAAATTATATTTTAATGAACAGTGTCATACCATATTTCATACCATCTCCAATTGAGGGGGCCAAAGGGCCATAGCCCAAACATAGCCCTTTGACCAAAAAACCATCTCCAACCGAGGGAGCCAAAGGGCCATAGGCTAAATATGAAACTTAAACAACATTAAAAAAAAAAAAAAAACTTAAATGCCCACTCCATGCTTCTTTTAGCCCAAATATGTGCAGCAAGATCCTGTTGTAGGTAATTTATTTGTGGCACGTGAACGTAAACAACAAGATCGTTTTGGCCCAAAAATGTGCAATAGGATCCCCAGTTGGAATGCGAAGAGGATCCAAAGTTGGAATCCATTGCAAACTTCAATTGAAAGAAATTGAATTGAAATAAAATGAAAAATTGAAATAGAATGAAGAATTGAAATAAAATTAAGAATTGAAATAGAATAGAATGTGAAGAATTGAAATAAATTATGGAATTGTGAAAATTGAAATAGAATGAAGAATTAAACTGAAGAATTGAAATAGATTAGAATGTGAAGAATAGTATGGAATTGTGAAAATTATGTGAGAAATGGTGTAGGAGTGACTTAGGTATTTATAGGAAACAAAATTAGATTTTTTTTTAATTTTTAAATTGTCCCAAAAAACAAAATCAAATCCAACAGCTACCTGGCGTCAGCATGACATCAGCCAAAAACTTGTTAAAAGCTTTGATAAATAAGTTAACATTAGAATCAAACAAAAAATTAAAATCATGGCTCAAAAGATTGTTTCATATCAACCAACCAAGAAAAGGGTTAGTTTTTATAAGGTGTTTTTGTTTTTTGGTTCAAAAATACAGATGAAGTATGTTGACCCAGCAAGTTCGAACCTATGACTTGTAGGAACATCAAAACGTCAAGGACCAATAAGCTACATGTTGTTTTGAGACTAGCAGATAACGAATGTAAATCATTTCAGGATGGGCTGGTGCCCACCTTGGCCTCCATGTGGCTCTGCCATTGGGCATGTTCGCTGACACCTGGAGAGATGGTGAGAGTTATAACATGTAGTGTCAGAGCATAGTTAAAATTAAAGTCTAAAACTAAATTAACTAAGAGTGAGAGTGCGCAGCGCAGGAATAAACCCTTGTTACAATGCATGCTGTGTCAAAGCATAGTTACCATTGCAGTAGAAAAGAGAATATTCTCATACTGGGTAGGATGGATATTATACAACTAATAGGAGGTAGAATTCCTACATTTTTGTACCCGAATATCAGAACCACCAATGATCCCTCATCGTCACAAAATCCAACTACTAAGTCCTAGAGAGGTGCAAAACAAAAAGTTTGAATGGGCAAAAATAAGGGTTTTTAAAACCCTTGCTTTTCGTAACATATAACCCCTCGCTATCAAACCCTTATAGTTTGTAAAGTGGGTTAAACTCTGTTTACTACCCTCATGTTTCGTGGTTTTCAACATTTAGTACATCAAGTTTTTTTCATCCCAGAGTCATTCCTAAAGTGTTAATTTTGGGACAGTCTCATACATCCGTTAGTCAAACTGTTAATTCTCCCGTTAAGTGATGACGTGGCGCTCAGGTGGACAATGACTGGGCACCACGTGTCATTAAAAATATTAAAATAATTAATTAAATAAAAGTTTTAAAAAAAAAACCCATCACTCCCCCCCCCCCAGGCGGTCCCCAACGCAGAACAAGAACAAGAATAAGAACCTAGAAGAAGAAGGAAAAAAACAAAAAACCCAGTCCCGCCCCCAACCCAGAAGAACCCATAAGAAGAAGAAGAAGAAGAAGGAAAAAAACAAAAACCCAGTTCGTCATTTCCACATTAATGGAGATCTACCACAAAACCAGTCCAAAAATCATCTCAAACTCAAACTCCTCATCTCAAAGTATTTTCGAAATTCACCCACACTGAAAATCCCAAAAATACGGAGTTCATGGTCTGGGTTCGGGTTCGCGATCGTGGGGCAGGGGGTGGAACAAACTGGGTTTAGGCTGCTGTTTTTTTTTTTTTTTTTTTTTTTGTTGTTGTTGTTGTTCTTCTTCTTCTTTTGCGTTGCAGATTCGATTTTTTTTTCCTTCTTCTTATGACTCTGGGATGAAAAAAACTTGATATACTAAATGTTGAAAACCACGAAATATGAGGGTAGTCAACAGAGTTTAACCCTTGTAAAATCATACAAGTAAATATGAAAACCCAGTAATAGTATAAAAGTGAATATGCTAAGAATATGGGTAAATCACAAATATCTCATCAATTGTAACATAATATGCTCATTAATGATAAGCACACACACACAAGTAATATGCTCATTAATGATATGCACACACACAAGTTCATGGAGAAAGAGCTACATGGAACAAGTTGTGTGTAATAAATCTACGCTCAAGTACTACATACACGTGAAGCTGGTGCTAAGTGCGTCACACACGAGTTCAAGATACAAAAGCAACTAATGCAGATTGTCACCTACAATGAATCTAAAGTAAGCATAACGGTGCAAAGTGAACATATACATGAAGCTAGTCTTGATCCCGGACAAGTACTAGACACTGGTGTCAACATGCATGATGAGCAGATAAAATATGTATTATCATGCCAAAATAATTTCATAAATCTCAAATCGACCTCAACAAATAACATTTCTAAATAATAGCGTGGCATGATGTAAAACATTCATAAAATCACTCTGGAAACTATATAAACATAATATAGGTTAGAAAACAAAGCCCACTCAATAATACATCGTCGACTCGTAACCACCTTGCGGTGCCTGGCCTCTGAAATCCTCGGTATAAGTCTCCACTATATGCGACATCAATTTCTTTTACGCACTTCAACGTGTCATAAGACTGGAAAATTGATTGACTAAATTTTCCTGCTCCAGGTAAACCCCTATTTCGGGAGGAAAAAGAACACCATTTCTGTTCGCGCTCATTCCCTATACCATGGAGTAAGATTTGTACAAAAAGTTAATACATGCATGCATATATAAGCTGTATACGGATGGGTGCAGAGAGAGAGAGGACCTGTAGGATTTCATTTTTAAAAGCAGCAGTGAGATTGGTACACCCTTCCATACGAATCCTTTTCATGGAGTCTAATGACTTACACAAGCCTGTAATTTCAGTGAGCTTGGGGGAGTGATTCAGATGCAGTCCTTTCATTCTCGACATTGCTGAAAAATCTGGCATCTTTTCCAATGCGATGCACTCATTGGCTTTCAAGATTTCCAAATTTGTTGGTAAATTTGGAATTTCCTGAAGGCTTTTGCAATGATCAACAGAAAAATACTTAAGGTTCTCCAATAGTCCAACAGAGCGGTGAATAATTGACAAACTCTTACAGGCTTTGAGTATCAATATCTCAATATTTGGGATTCCTGAAAAGTCTGGTGACTGTTTCAGTTGAGCACAATAACCAAGATTGAGAAACTTCAACATTTCAAGTGACTGTGAGACAAAAAGGGAAAACAAATATCAAAATTCAAATGGAAGAGAGAAAGCATGATGTTGGTATTTAAAAAGCCCGGCGGAAAAAATTAATGTTTGGTTGGGTTTGTATTGTACCACGTTGTCATTCCAGAGTTCTATATTGCTACCACTCAGGTCGATGTCAACTAAGTTTGGTTGATTAAACTGCACCTGCAGAGAAAAGTAAGACAAACTTAACCATCTTAACTCTTCGGGAAGATCTTTGCATTTTCCAGTGATCTTTACGCCTTTTATATTGAGTAATCTCAGTTTCGACATATCTGTGAATATTTCTGTATCGAAGCTAAGCATGTCAGATTCTGGAGAATCTAAAGCGATTCCTTCGATTTCTACCGTTCCCTGTTAGAAAGGAAAAGAAAATAAAGTAAGACAAGGGTTATTTGCTCAGACTTTAACCGGTGCAGAGCACCAGTACTGGATCCATGCCATAGAGCTAAGACATCAGTTTTGTTTTAAAAATCTAAATTAGTCATCTGTGTTACAGGGATAATTTTCAAATAATTCAGTAAATAAGATCAGTATCTTTTTTCGAATGCATTTTGATTGAGGATGTACTTACATGTTTTTTCCTCAATACTTTTATTACATCTGGATGATTCCACAATCTACAACGACTTTCAAGCTTCTTAGGGGATTTAGCACGTACGATTTCTCTGCCCATGTCCCGAATCAAACGGTGCATCATCATCAGATTGCCATTTGGATCATCAGTTACAAGGCATCGCTGCTGGAGTACTTCAATACCTGTTGCTGGATCAGGGTAACACCCATTCAATATTGCCATGACACGGTCCTTGTCCATTCCAGTAAAGAAACAGGATATATCAAGGAATATATCCTCCCACTCGCTATCCTTAAGCCCGTCATAACTTATCTTAAGAATTTCGTGAATATCCGAATTATGCTGTGATTCATTCCATTTCTCCAGTGCACTTGTCCATCTCTCTGTGTCTCTTTTACATAGGTAAGAACCTACGGCTTCAAGTGCAAATGGTAAACCCCCACAATAATCAACAGCTTTTCTTGAGACTTCGAGATATCCTTCATTAGGAGAACTCTTTCCAAAGGCACGCCAACTAAGGAGCTCAAGAGCTTCATCGTTATTCATTGCCGGCAGAGAACATACCTCATCCACCACTCCAGGTATCTGTAACAAATGTTTATCTCTTGTTGTTATAACAATTCTACTTCCTGGACCAAACGAGTCATGTCTTATAGCTAATATATCTATCTGTGACACAGAGTCTATATCATCAACTATGACAAGAACGCTTTTCTTGCGAAGTCTTGTTTCTATCTCCTCGGTCCCTTCATCGGCCATATGCACCTTTCTGTGGCCCGGTCCCAAAACATCATACAGAAGTTTGTTTTGCGAATTAACCAGTTTCTTATCTTCTCTCACATTTTGAAGAAAACATGCACCATCAAACTCGTGGTAGTATTTCTTGAAAATAGCTTTTGCGATCGTGGACTTACCTAGTCCGCCCATCCCCCAAATTCCAATTATGCGAACACCCTCTGATCCTCCAACATTTAAATAAGTACTGATTTTTTGCACGCGAGAATCTATTCCAACTTTATACCTGGCTTCATTAAGGCGTGGTTTCTTCAGTTTTCTAGTGATCTGGTCAACAACTTCCGTGATAAACTCTGCTTCATACCTGGAATTAAAATTCGTAATTAAGGAAAAGTAAGATTTACTATGAGACTGAAGGATTAAAATGTACCAATATATACCCTAGAGCAACTCCGGGTAATAACTGCCCAGGCAATTGGGCACTGGGTAGTTACTGTCTTAGTGGACAATAATCGCCCCACTGCATCTCCATCCCGTAAATGGTTCGCCCAGACAAATAATATTAAAAAATTAATACAAACATTTTTTGTCTCTTTCCTGATCCTTCTTTTCTGCCGTGGAGACCAAATCCTTCTGCAGCTTCTCCCTGCCCCGAATCACAGAGCCATGATCTCCATATAACCTCCTTCACTCGACTTCCTTTCTGCCATTTTCAGTACCCTTTCAACACCAAGTAAAATCTTCGCCATCTTCTCTCGATCGTCCACTCAGAGTCCTCGTCCCTCAAACTTATCAAATCCATCCTTCAATCCAGCACCTACATGCTGAGCCGTTCTCCCAGACCGCAAATCCGACTGCCAAACATCAATGAAATTTCTGCAAACCACAGTTTGGCGGCCTGGGACGAGGGTAAATCAACGTTTGGAGACGATGACGTCATGCTGACGTTAGCAAGACATCACACCGACTGCCCAGTCGGGAGGTGTTGCGCCCACCTATATCCCGACTTGTTTGGGTTGGGGTGGAGAGAATTTTGTGGGTCTTGGGAAATTCAATCACCCAATTACTTGGGCAATTTGGGAGGAGTGGACTTGCTCTTAATTCCGATGGGTACAGAATTTAATTACAAAGTATAAGATTTGAATCTTATACACTAATATGTAGTGAGATAGATCAAGGGTTTATATATTAGAGTTTCTAAGCTTTGCAATGATTAAAGGAAATGAGCAAAGTTATTACCTGTCAGTCTCTGAAAAATCCTTGCCGTTCAAGTTTGCAGCTTCTTGGAGAGCATTGCTCCACTGCCGGACTTTTTCAGCCTCAAACCTTTGTCGATGGTTCCGAAACGCGGGTTCAAAACTACCAGTCTGATGCCTGACATCTGAAGGAGCAACATCGAAGAAAATCGGAAAAACAAGTTGACCCAGTGTTCTTCTGCACTCCATGATCTCCACCAGCTCGTCAAGACACCATCTGGACTCCGCATACCCCTTTGAGAACATGATGGCAGCAAGCCTGGACTCTTTGATTGCTTGATTCAGACTTTCTTCTATAACATCCCCACAAATCAATTTGTCCTTGTCCCGAAAGACATTGAAGTTGTGGTCGTTTAATCTATGGTAGAGATGGTCCGTGATGCCCCTGCGTGTTTCGCCTCTAAAGCTCAAGAACACGTCGTACTTGCTCCCCTGGTTATCCATCTGTTGGCAAGTCACCAATTCTCTGATGTCTGATCGGAACTGCAAAATGGCACCATGGGCAGATGAATTTTTAATCCAACTGGCAAAGTCCACTACACCTCGTTTCTAAGTCCACAAAAGAAAAAGCTGACCATAAAAATGTAACTTGTTAAAAAAAATAAAAAAAAATAAAAAATTATATATATATATAAAGTAGAATCTTCAAAGATTATTGCTACCCACATCCAGTTTTACCTCTAACCCATCCTATAATATCAGATTTATTTCAAAGTATTTACATTTTTTGAACGTATGTATAGTTTTAATAACTTATTTGAAAATAAAAATTTTAGTAAACCCTAGATTCAGAGATATTGGCGTTGCATTCATTTTCATCCGAAAACGGCAAGAAGAAAACCACTCTCATCCAAAAAAAATGTGTTTTTCTTTTCTGTGATCAATTAAAATAAACAGTACTATTCATCCAAGGTCTGGCATCCAAAACAATCCACAATTTTTGCTTTTCTGATCACTAAAAGCTACAGACTTTAAAGAGAAAATAGCTCAAAATACAAAACATTCACTTTTTCTTTGTTTTCTTCTTCCTCTGCCACTTATTATGTGACCTAGGCAGTCTCAATCAAACGAAAATAAAAAAAAACGTAATGTATACCAATGATTCAATTACAAAAACAAAAGGAAAAAAAATACGTATGTAGGTATTTAAATAATATTCTATGCTTACTAATATTTTTCATGCACCATTACGTTTCTTGGTTTAGAGCAACAAAATGCATATGTTACTGATGAGACACAAAGCCAACGAGAGCAATGGCGGGATCAACAACGTATGAGGCGGAATTCAATGAGTTCAAGCCAAAGACACGAATATTTAGCACGGCGACGATCCAATTATCGTGTTCAACAAATTCAACGCTCAAACATAATGTTATTTGGTGGTGATGCCGATCAAGTTCAACACCCTAACATAGTGCAATTCGATGAAGGCAGCAGCAATCATGTTGAACGACTAAACATAGTGCCGTTTGGAGAAGGCAGCAACAATCAAGTTCCAAGAACAATGCGCTTAACTCATATAAGGCAAATTGCCCGATCAAATAGGACACGCTTGCCTCGGGATGGACTAATACAAAGTTTCACTAATAATGGTAATCGCACAAACTACCATAGTACAACTTTGAAAAAGATAAACATCATTATCATCATTACTGTAAACACTACTTATTACCTTACTTCCATTTCATTTGATTATAACAGAAAATACAACAGCGCAATCGTTCAGTTCGAATACTCCAATGAGTCATTGTTATCTGCCCATCATCAATGAAGGTATCAGCTTTTGAATATTAATACCTACAATTTCAACTATGCTCTCTAAATCATGAAACACCTTTAATGTTTTCTTTTTAAGCGGATGCTTTTAATCTCATTAATGAAAATGAGATCTAGCCTAACGAGGACGTACCACCCCGACATCATACTATGGGAAGAAGGCCAATTCATAATTGTGCTAGAAACTTTAATGAAAACATGGAAATCCCAAGATTTCACATGCCAAATCCAACCACATGTCCAGATTGTTATGCCCGTTTGTTCTCTCATGAAACATCTGAAATGTGTTGCTTACGTGGAAAGCTTGCTCTACCATTGGCACCGTCCCCTCCTGAAATGACTGAGATTTTTTGCAACCAATCTGCCGAGGGAAGACATTTTAGGCAGAATATACGAGCTTACAACCACATTTTTGCCTTCACTTCAATGGGAGTTCATGTTGACGAAAACCTAGCAACAGGAAGACGTGGTATTTACACATTTCGTGCTCAAGGTTCCATATATCATAAGATTGGAAGTCTTTTGCCTATTAGAGATAGTAGACCGAGATTCCTACAAATGTATATATATGACACAGCTCATGAAATAGACAATCGAATGAGAGAAAGTGAAGCACTAAACAGAGATGTGGTTGAAAAAATCCAACAAATCTTGAATCAATATAATCCATTTGTGCAAACATTTCACCACCTTGCGCAACGTCAAGATTTGCAAAGTTGTAGATTGATTATCAAAGAGCAGCCCGCGAATCAACGACAATATTGTTTACCGTCTGCATCTCAGGTTGCTGCAATCATAGTAGGTGGTGAAGGATCAGAAAACATTAGAGGTCGAGATATTGTTGTGCAAACTACAGATGGTCAACTTAAGAGTATCAAAGACTGTGTTGGCTACTATGACCCTTTACAATATCCATTGTTGTTACCTTATGAAACATATGGATGGAATGTGAATACTCGAAATAACAATAGCAGAAAAGTGACATGTTGTGACTATTATTCGTATCTTTTTCAGGTAACCTAAGACCTTCATCTCTATGAATACAATATTAATTTTTAAAACTTATATTGTGTTGAACAATGAATTTTATCATTTTAGATCCGTCAACACGACGAATCGCTTCTACTTCGTGGTGGCCGCCTATTGCAACAATATGTAGTTGATAACTACGTCAAGAGCGAATCACAAAAGCTTAGATGGATGCGTAATAATCAACACACAATTCGATCTGAATTTTATTGAGGACTGCAAGACTCATTAATTGCAGGACAAAATAATGCAGGTATGAAGCTAATCAGTTTATAATAAAACATATATTCTTTAAGTTCATGTTCTGTCATATTAAATGAGACTTATTAATAGGTTGAAACAAAACAAACATATTTAGACTTATTAACGACCTATAACAAAACAAATACAGGAGACGTCGGTCGTCGTAGGACTATATTACCATCATCTTTTGTTGGTAGTCCCCGAGACATGTATCAAAGGTATCAAGATGCAATGACTTTGGTTCAAAAATATGGAAGACCAGATATTTTCCTAACAATGACATGTAATCCAACTTGGGAAGAAATAAGTGATGAGCTACTACCTGGCCAAACACCACAAGATCGACCAGATTTGCTTACAAGGGTTTTTCGTGCAAAATTTGAAGAGTTGAAGAATGATGTTATAAAAAAAGGTGTTTTAGGCAAAGTTCTTACATATGTATATGTCATTGAGTTTCAAAAGCGCGGTCTCCCCCATGTTCACATGCTTCTCATGTTAGAAGAAAATGATAAGCTTAATAGTCCAGATGATTATGATCAGGTGGTACGGGCTGAAATACCAAATCCAAATGAAGAGCCTGAATTGTATGGTGCCGTCTTAAGGCATATGATACATGGTCCATGTGGAATACACAATTCACGGTCACCCTGTATGAAACGTGGTAGCTGTAAACGAAATTATCCTAAGCCATTTGCACTAACTACAGTTCAAAGAAATGATTCTTATCCAGTCTATCGTAGAAGAGACAATCATGATCCAATCCCATTAGATCATAATGCACGTATAATGGTGGATAATCGGTGGGTCATTCCGTATAACTCATGGCTACTCCTCAGATATGATTGTCATATTAATGTTGAGATTTGTTGCAGCATTAAGAGTGTTAAGTATCTGTACAAATATGTTTACAAAGGTCCCGACCGAGTAGCTTTTGAAGTCCATCATGAACCTATTCAAGATGAAATAAAGCAGTTTGTTGATGCAAGATGGGTTTGTGCACCTGAAGCTTTATGGAGAATATTCAAATTTGTAACTAATCGACTTTATCCATCGGTGGAACGATTACAAATTCATCTTCCTGAAGGACAAACTATTCATTTTTACCCTCACCAAAGAGTAGCAGATATTTTGGCAGATGACACTAACTCGATGATTATGCTGACAGAGTTTTTTTTACCAAGAATACCACTTGCCCGGAAGCACGATAATACTTATACGGGGAATTCCCTGAACGGTTCAAATGGAGTCAAAGAGATAAACTCTGGAGTGAAAGGATGAATAACCATAAAGTTATTGGCCGAATATATGCAGTCTCGCCGAATAAGGGTGAAAAATTCTACTTACGCATCCTTCTTAATCATGTTAGAGGACCAACATCATTTGAGAATTTAAGAACAGTCAATGACATTGTACAACCAACATTTAAGAAGGCAGTGGAACAACGAGGTTTGCTAGAAGATGATGATAGCATCAGACAGTGTCTCTGTGAAGCCACTAGCATTCGCATGCCGTCAGCTTTGCGAAGGTTGTTTGTTACCATCTTAGTTTATTGTAAGCCACATGGAGTAAGAAGATTATGGGATGAATTTCATTCATTTATGGTGGAAGATTATTCTGCTTCAAGTACCACAAATAATACTTCTATCTTGAACAAGCTTTTGCAAGACTTGAACGAACTATTAATGCAACATAGTAAGTCTGTATCTGATTACGATTTACCACAAATAACACAAGATTGTGTTAGAGACAACATAATTCCAAGGATAATACAAGATGAAGTTTCACTTGACATCTCTGAAGCAGACCTCAATGCGGTACAAAATCTAAATGAAGACCAAATGGCAGCATATAACTCGATTGTGCCTGCTATTGAACAACGAGACAATGCCATATTTTTTGTGGATGGTCCCGGAGGGACAGGAAAGACATACTTATATAGTGCTTTGTTAGCAACCTTAAGGAGTAAGGGTCATATTATATTGGCAACAGCAATATCTGGAATTGCAGCAACCATATTGCCAGGTGGAAGGACAACACACTTTAGATTTAAAATTCCCCTCAGTCCAGATGCATCTTCCACATGTTCTATTAGTATCCAGTCAGATTTGGCAGAATTGATAAGAAAAACATCAGCTGTTGTTTGGGATGAAGCACCAATGGCACACAGGTTTGCATTTGAGGCTCTCGATCGAACGTTCAAAGATATAATGGGCGTTGACCTACCATATGGAGGAAAGGTCATAATCTTTGGAGAAGATTTTCGACAAGTTCTTCCAGTTGTTCCAAAAGGTACAAGATTTGAATTGATGCAAGCAAGTATGATTAATGCTTCATTTTGGGAACACGTGAAAATCATTCATCTTAGGCATAACATGAGATCCATCAATGATCAAGACTTTTCAGAGTTCTTACTTCATGTTGGTAATGGGGAACAAGAAACTATGATAGACGACATGATGCAATTACCATCATCTATGGTTATTCCATGGAATGGTGAAGAATCCATTGTCCAATTGGTTAATGAAGTTTTCCC